CTCTCAGCAATGGACTGAGATTGGGGCTGCCCAAAAAGCCAAGTCAACCTTTTCCCTCCGGAGCTGCTTGTGTTGTGAGTCTACAGCATTACAAAGGCATCTAGAAGATCAGTCTAACAATTTCAACCATTTCCCTTGGAGAGCTTTCTGTCCGTCCTAATTCATACAAGTACCCATTGCACATTAGGCACCTTGATCTATCACATCTCATTTTCTCCCATCTCCCATCCAGTCAGGTTGTTCCTATTTTCTAGACTCATGGGATTGACAAAAATCAAGTCTAGAAGCCCCAGATGGGAAGCCTTGTAAGCACCACGTGACTGTCTAGTTCCACCTGATTTCTTGCATATACTTTCCCCTCTTCAGAGCTGAAACTTCAGTAGGAGGCTGAGGTCCAGTGAGACCCAAGACTATAAAACCAGAACTAGTGGCTTCAGACACTTCAGGGATGAATATGTTCTGACACGTCAGCACCTGCTCTATCTACAGCTGTACAGGTGTGCAACCCCGATATATACCCATTAAGTGCCACTTTCTCCATTCATTCCTGCTGGGTACCCAGAATGGGTGTTTCCTTACTACCATCCATCTTAGCTACTGGGAAGGTGAGCAGCCAAGCCCAGGCTCATTGCCTCTGGTCGGTGCTGTCCCCAAATCAAGTCATCCAACTCAATACTCACTGTTAAGTTTGCAATGATGAAGGGGAACCGGATCTAGGACATCCTATCCCGACACATACATGCCATAAGCATGAGCATACCATGTAATAGGTTAAGTGCTGGCCCAAAGAAGTTAAGTGTTTAATTATAAGCTACCTTGATGAGGAGCTTCTCTCCCGGCCCCAGACATTTGTTATGGGAGCAGCCAAAGGAATAAGAGGCACCTGACAATGCTTCTGAACCTAGAATCCCTTTCTCCCTGAAGAGGCTGAAATGGCCACATCCTGTGAGCATCTCTAGTGACATGGACCAACTACAGCAGCTGAAACCTTCTGAGCAGAGGTGAGGGCTAGCACCTGGCCCCAGCCATGGTCAGAGGATTCATGCTTACCCCCTGGTTTGTACACCTACTCAACTTCAGGACAAAATAGAAACCAGTTGGGGTGTTTCTTTAAAAACTGAGGTTGCTCCATCCTTCGAATGTGCCCCCAAACAAGACCTTTTGGATGCCAGGAAATTCACTCAGTCCTTGTCACTGGGGGATTTCTTTGGGGCGTTATAGAGAACAATGTTTAGGTTGAGGTCCATGGGGATTCAAAGACCCAAGATTCTTTTCCCACTATGAAAGGGGCTTAATGCAAGGGAAAGATGGCTCTTTGGAGTCCAGAATCTAAGGAACCCTTGGAGGCCCATCTCCAGCCTATTGATTAAGTCCCAGAGCTAACCTAGTTTGTGATTGCTGCCCTTTTAGGGTCCAGGAGGGTTCAAAGCAGCCCATGGCAGTTGCACCCTTTCAGAGTGTTTTGAGTTCACTCTGCATGGGCTTAAACTTGTGTTTTCTCATAGCCAATTTAGCAGCCAACATTCAGGCAAGTAAAGCTAGATGCCACAGCCCCTTCTCAGCCATGAGGGGCAAAAGCCTGACCAATGACCTTGCTCCACCCAAGGTGTTTCAGACAAGGCAGGCTGACTTGCGAGTCCCAGCACCTAACCCCTTTTCTGACCCTGCAGGAAACTCAGTGCTCTCAAGACACAGTAAAATCCCTACCCCCCTTTCCCCTTTGGGTTGCTGCCCCAGAAGTTTTGATACTTGGCAAAAATCCTGAATCTTGGGAAAATTCAGACCTGAAGGACCGCCTCCAGAAGCATCAGAAATGAAGGCAATTAGCCCAGCTGGCTCTCCATGTTTAACACAAGGTCTGCTCATCATGAGAGCATGGAAAAAAGGTTTTTCTTCAATACTAGAGTTGGACCCTAGGTTTCATTGTTCAGAACTACAGAGGAGCCCCACCTCAATTCAAGGTTTTAACACGTTTCCCATCCTCCCATCTCCAGGGGAATCTCAAGTGACTGACAAGTCTCTGGATTTCTCTCCATTCTCTCAGTGGCTACCAAGCCGTGGTCCTGTTGAAAATCCTCCATTGCCAGCTGACGGCTGGTCACTGGAGTGAGGCTCTGAAGAGACAGAACCCTGATTTAGCAGATAATGTGATGTGTTGGCGTCAGGTGCCTCACCCTTATTCCCTGTTACACCTGGATTCAAGAGAGGAGACGCTGAGCAGCAACAGTTCACATTCCAAGTTGCACCGATTTAAAAAACCAAATGGCCACCTAGAGCTCAAGAGTACAGAGCAGCTCTTGAACACTAGATGAAAGACCGAGGAGCATCACTAATGTTCAAGGAGAAAGACATAACCCCAGGGTGAGATTTAGCATCCCGGGAAGACGCTTCATGAAGCTGGAAAGCTGAGGCCAACCAACATTTTATATTCCTAAGCTGTGCTGAATCAGCATCAGAGGACATGGTTCTCACTGGGAAAGAGCAGTACTGTTTATGTACTGTGACAGGGCCTCACTTCCTCTGGCCTAGGACTCAGACCTGATGGCCTCTGCCTTCAGAGTGTGAAGATTAAAGGCAAGTCACCCCCGTGCTTCGTTTTGTATTCCCAGCTACATTCTTAGCAACACAAACTCTAAGGACATCAACATGGGCTCCTGTCTGCAACTCAAGGGGAGAATCAGGTATCTGGAAACTATCTCAGAAGAGAGCACATTTGAGAGGAGTACTTCAACTTCACTCAACTTCAAGCTACCTTGTTAAATGTCCTGGTGGGGCAGAGGACTCATCTTATGGGATCAACCAAAGGAAAGGGATGAGATTACAGAGGCCTGAAGGATGGTTTAGAGCCATTAACTCCTTCCACCTGAAGAGGTTGAAATGGCCACGCCTGCATCTCTGATAGGGACCAGGTGCAGCAGTTAGAACCTCCACTGAAAAGGTGACGCCCAGCACCTGGCCCCCAGCCAGCACAAGGATTCCCCCATCAGCTTGGCACCTCCTCAGCCCAGTCTCCTATGAAGTAGAGCACTTATGGATATAGAAGCTGGAAAGAAGTGTATCTGTTGGGAGGCGGTTGTAAGGTCAGATCAGTCTGCCATACGCTCCAACTAAGGAGACCACCCCCCCATTCTTCCCACCCAGCCCTCTTCTCATCCCTTCATGTTTTCATAGCATCGTGTATGAAACCCATGGAGTATTGTGGTACGGAATTCCATCCCAGTGACAAGCCTTGGAGCAGGGAATCATGGGTCTCTTCAGAGCTCCCCGAAGGATAAGGGCAGGTCTGTCAATTTCAGACATCGATCCCAAACGCCCCTTTTCCAGCCACCTTTATCCCGTTCCTAGTCCTTGGCTATCAGAAGCGCCAGCATCCAAGGAAAGTTCTACAAAAAGTCTGGGTTCTCCCTCACAGCTGCCTCTATTTGAATTTCAGGTACTCCCAGGTTTGTGCCTACCCCACTGGTGTCCACTTTTAATCACAGGCTAAGAGTTCAGGAGAACGTAAGGTTCAGGTCTGGGGACACTAAAGACCTGGTGTTCTCTTCCCATCACAAAATAGGCTGTAAGCAGGAGAAATAAGAGGTTCTGTAATCCAAGGAGCCCTTAGGGATAGCTAGATCCAGCTTACCCCCATATTCCCTACAGCCAATTAAGGGATTCAGACCCTTTAGATCCAGGAGGGCTCAAGTGGTCCATGGAGGCTGCACCCTTGGAGAAAGCTTCAGTTCAGCCTGCATGGGGTTTTAAGCGTATGCTTGCTCATCTTTTTCGCAGCAACTTTCATTCAGGCAGTTAAGTGAGATGCCACATCCCTTCTTAGCCATGAGGTCAAAAGCCTGAAGCAGAGTCACCTCGGGTGCTCAGGACAAGGCAGTTTGACATTAGGGTCCCAGCTCTTTACCCCTTGTTCTCCTGACCTTGCAGGAACCTAGAGTGGTTTACAGGTTACATCCAACACCCCTTTGCTGCTTTAGGGTAGTCCCGTTGATACTTGGCAGAAGTTCTCACTTAGGAAATGCCTCAACAGCCTCGGAAGCAGTCAAGGCAGTGAGAATCAGCCCAGGTTGCTTTCTAGGGTCTGCTTGGGAAAGTCCCCTCCTACAAGTGCAGAGATGGAACTCAATTTCAGGTTCAATTAAGCGTCCTACTGAGGAGCCTCGGGACTAAAGTTTACTGTTTTCCCCTCCTCCCGATCCCCATGCTTGTGACCTCCAGAGTCCAGGCTGTTTTGTAAGGTCAGTAGAGCATTTGGCAATATAGTTGCTGGAAAGCGGTGTGCTTGTGTTGAGGGGGGGAGGGGGGGCGTTTGTAAGGTCAAATCTGTCTGCCCTACACTCCAGGTAAGGACACACACCACACACACAGCCATTCTTCCCACCCAGCACCTCTTCCCATCCGTTTCTCTTCACATACAACATCGTGTATGAAAGCCATAGAGCGTAATGGCACGGAATTCTATCCCAGTGACAAGGATTCATGGGAATTCATGGGTCTCTTCAGAGCTCCCAGAAGGGCAAGGGCAAGTTCTTTCGATTTGGGACAGCCATCCACAACCCCCTCTTTTCCAGCCTCCTTTTCCCCCTTCCTTAGCCCCATGGCTATCAGGAGCGCCAGCACCCAAGGAAGGTTTTAGTAAGTTTTCTCTCCCAGCTATTTGAATTCCAGGTGTTCCCAGGTTATCCCCCATTCCCATCAGATTACCCCTCTTCCCCTCCCTTCCCCTCCCGGCTCCCACTTCATCGCTTGTTCGGTATTTCTTCCCCCCACATTGAAAAACTTTAAGAGACCACTTGAACAGCTCAAAGGACAGAGAAAGTTCAGCAATTTTTCCCATCCCTCCCCGATAGCGTAGCGAGGAAAGACAGAAATATCAGCTAGCAGCCAGCGCGGACCCAGACGGCTCCTTTTATCCCTCCCCCGGTGCTGCCCTCTTGCAGCCCATTGGCTGGCAGCCTTCCCCGCCCATTGGCTGGCTGCCTTCCTCCCTGATGTCTTTCACCTGGCAGAGAAGTGGCTCCTGGTGCTTGGTTCTGCCCAGGTGCTGTTTCTGAGTAGCCTGGTCTTCACTCCCAGGTAAGCTCACCTGTCTCTGTGGAGTCCTTGGTGATTTGCGTTGCACTCTCAAATGTCACAGTGTCCCTGTTGATCCTTTGGTGTCGAACTGAAGCCCGGCAGGCCGTCTGTCTCTTCCACCAGGAGCATGACATCCAAATGAACCCGTGGTGTTGGCAACAGAGTTCAGTAGGTAAGAGGCTTGCTGCTAAGCCTGATGACCTGAGTTCCATCCCTGGGACCCTTGGGGTGGAAGGCGAGAACTGACTCCCACAAGTTGTCCTCTACATGTGCCATGTTGTGCCCTAATGTTAATACACACGCGCAAAATAAAATGAAAGTTTTGAATATTTTTTAAAAAAAATGTTTTTGAAAGAAACTGGCCTCTAAAACCCAGCTAAACCAGCTACAGCTGTGAGCTTGGCTGCCCCAAATCCCTCCCAAACCTTGCCTAACTAAACCTCCCCCATGCTATCCCCCGGCCTCTGCCCTAGGCTCGAACAGTGCCATGTTAGCTGCCTGGATGTTGTTTTCTGCCTTTAACTTTCGGGTGCTAATCTGGGTACCTGGATGTGTGGTGGCCACGTGGGATGATTTCACGTTCTTCCTAAGCCACATGTCACTGAGTCCAAACTCAAGCACTGACGGTGCCCTTTCTACTCTGAATCTGTTCGCTTGTTTTCCTGGACTCCGTCTCTCCCATCTGAAAATGCCATAGCACAGAGAGGTTCCACTGGTCAAGCAAGTTCCTGTGTGTGAGTCTTTAGAATGGTACATAGAGTGTGCTCAGCATTGTAAAGGTGTCCATTAACGAGGAGAGAAGAGGGTGAGCAAGGAGGGGCATGCCTGCAATCCCAGCCCTTGGGAGCTTGAGACAGGAGGATTTTGAGTTTGAAGACAGCTTAGGGTATATAGCAAGAGGCTGTCTCAAAAAAAAAATAAGTAAAGCCGGGCGTTGGTGGCGCAC